TGGAGGGAGGCTTTGGGAGTTGCTAGCTGCATATTCTACCAGCAACATAAAGGAAGGATTGGGATAATTCCTTCACCTTTGAGGGGCTTACATTATCTCCAGATATTGTTGAATCATTGATGCTATAGAACTTCCACCTGGAAATCATAAAAGCATCAGGGGCAAGCAACATTTGTGTTTAAAATTTACCAGATTGAAGCAAGTACTGGATTAACTTTTGTTTTCTTTTTAAATGCTGCCATGGAGAAAACCATGGGATGTCCCTAAAAGATCTTCCTCCTACACACCCTTTCTGCCAGCCTATCTAGAGACACATGAAAGCTTGAGATATGTGGTCTTTTTGGAAAAGAAAAGATATCACCTTTTGTAGCTTCTCATTTTGTTCTAACTTTATTTACTAAATAGTGCACAGAGAAGGAAATCTATATTCCTTACTGGATGCCCCTGATGTTGTCTTACATTGATGATTTTCAATAGGAAGTTGTCATCACAGCATTACAAATGGGTTTCTCAGCCAGATGGATAAACAACTGCAGAAGCATGACATTTGGCCAGGATTAGAACTGTGAATGGCAAAGCGAGATCATAAGTGTGTTTGTGGACACAAACAAGGTGTGGAAAAGCTTAGGAGCTATTGGTGCTGTTATTACTGGCATAAAACATAAAACAGACATAAACAGGCATAAAAAAGACATGTATGCCTCTATCACCAATGACATCTATGAGCAGGGTTCTTAGAGAAACCATAGCAAAATATCTCTGCATTTTAAGCATTTTATGGCCAAATCTCTACCAACAGACTCGCTCATCTACACCTATGCTTGATATATATTTATTACTATTATTATTTGTACTGCTGTGGCACCTAATGCTAGTAATATTAAAACATATCCTTCAGCAGCACCTACGCATCAGCCAGGCTAGCTTTTCCCTCCTCTCCTGCCCCCATGCCCACTGTGCTAGGCGAACTGTAGAATGATAGGTATGGTACAAACAAAATAAGTAACCATTCTTACCCCTAAGCCACACAGTCTAAAAATTATGCATAGCAGGGTGTGAGTAACAGATGGACTGTTACAGTGTATGTCATGAATACCTACTAAGAATTGAATATATTGTGTATCAATATTGTGGCTAGGAAATAAAAACCTTCCTGAAGAGTCATTACTGTGAATAAACACTATAGTGTGGCAATTTTAACTGGGGCAGGGGGGAAGGGAGGGGAATAACAAAAGCAATAATTCCATATAATGGTATAACTACCTGCAACAGTTCCATTTAAATAGGCAGTCGATTATAATTTGTAAATCACACACAAGCTAAATTAAATGAAACATAAATGTTCCCCGGATTGAAATTTTGTCTGACAAATTTTTAGTGCATGGTGAATTTTTGCAGCCAATCCAAAAACCCAGGAAAAAAACTCTATGTTACTAGAAGTCTTCAAAGACCTTTCATTATGATAGCATAGGAGAAGCCTTTGTAATTCACGCTAATTTCTTTTACATAAATACATCATACATGTCCTCAGTATTTGCCAGAATGTTATCGTTTCCTCCAGTAACTGTAAGTCTAACTTCTGTGTATGATGACTACATATCTATAAAGCTTAGTGTTTCACAGCCTGTATTATGCTCTGTTGGGAACAGCAGTTGTCTGCTACCATTGGCTTTTCGTTATATGGTCCACGTTACTGAATAAGGTTTGTAATAGCCCATTTCTTTCTTTCCCTATTCCTAATTTAAAAGCAGCCAGTTTTTAACACTTGTAATGTGCATGTCATTCAGAGCTGAAACATTTTGCTTAGGGCCAAATTCTGGTCTTCGTTGATGGCAAAACTCCCAGTCACATGAACAAAGCCAGGATTTGTCTGCAGCTGTTTATAGCTCATTTCATTTGGAAAAGTGGGCTAGGTTTGTGCTTGGCTTCTTTGGTGTGTCCTTCCAAGAAGCTGACAACCTTTCTACAAGGGTCCTTCCTGAAAGGAAATAATCAGTAGAATGAGAATGAGTATGAGTTGAAGCAGAACAGAAAATGACTCAACCAGGAGGCCTTAATGGATTAACTCCTTTCCAGGCAGTGTCCCTTCCCGTGTACCTTCACCCTTTCAAGGAGCGAGCAAGTGTGAAACATACTGTCCCCTAACCTGGAGATCTGGAAATCTGCCTAGGGAGACTAGCTCAGCTGGTCAGACAAGTTTGCCCTGTCTCTGGCACCATTTGCTGAACAAATGGTTATTTAATCTCTGATTAATCAGGACACTTATGCAAGTGCCAGACTTACCCCTAATAGATCTATTCTCCGACACTGGCAACAATGAGTTGAGAAACCTTAATTCCTTCTGTTTTTTTTCTCATGCGGTTGAGAATACCTATATTTTATTAAGCTTTCTGTATGAAAATCAAAGAAAGCCACCTGATTACATTATACAATACAGTATTTGACTCATAACATCATCTTCAATTTTGCAAAACCCTCTGTTTTGTTTAAATTGGTGAAACCCACTGTAATGTTTAAATAAACAAGAAACAAAATTAGTTCTAGAGCTGTTTTCCTAAGGAACTCAGACACTAAAAAAGAAAATCACGTTAAAAATTACTTCCCACTCTTAAATCCTGTGATATATCACAAGTTAAATAATTTTAAATCTCATAAAATTCATCTATTTATGAAGGAGGCAGTCTATCAGCTTGTTGTATTATTGCAGGTTAAATATTCACTAGTGGCTTATTAGCACATATACTGTAGGTGATCAACTTTGTGATTAATGCACAAGTGCTACAGAGTTTCTCCTATTTAATAAATATTTTCAGTACTCCATTATTGCTTTATCAACATAAATTACAATAACTGTCTAATAATTGTAAATCAATTTGAACTTTGTAGTAAATCACTCTCAACCACAGAGCCATTAAAAAGCGAAATGCCAATCTAAACCTCACTTTGACCGTATTATTTTACGTTCTCTGCTGTTCCCCTCTGATTTTTCTTTATGAATCTCCAACAGCACTATGACAGCACACTGGGAACATTTGGACACAATCTTTCTGTTGTGGAACTGAATGGTACTTAAGGGATAAAATTCACTGAGATTAGGATGAAGTCCTTACTTTTGCTATAGGCTGAATAAGCAACTGTGATTCTCTGGGTCTTGCAGTTGACTTAATTTTACTTTGCCTCTGGCTCTCTCTTGCTTTCCCTTCTGTTTAGTTATTTTAAGTGAAACTTGGGCATGCAGCACTGAAATCCACACACCCCTGTCTTCCCAAAACATTAAACCACTTGTCCTTAGTCTCAGCACATAGCGGGCCTTAAGATAAGACTTACATTGCCTAAATTTAGTTTGGAACACCTGGTTTTCCAATGGCTTGTCCTCTAGGTGCCCTCCATAGTCAATGGAGAGAAGGAGAAGTGCTTCTAAAGAGCAGTTCCCAAACTAGATGTCTAAAGAAGGCAGGATGCATCTTCCTCCACAAGGGCCAAAAAAAAAAAAAGGATGACTGACTTGGATTCAACACCTACCTTTTGGATGGCTAAGTTAAGTGAGATGAATCATACTGTTGGTTTACTGGTCTCCCCCATCATTATATAATAAAAATTCTGTTGTTGTTTCTGTCTTTACGTAGTCCTCGCTCTGAAATAAATACTAGCTATAGTCTTCCGAAGAAATATCTTACAGAATCATATGATCCATCATTGATCCAGTTGAAATCACAGGCTGGAATCTAGGTACCTGGTGTTGGGGGGAAAAAAACCCAAAACACTGAATTTAACTGAAGAAAATGTTATTTGCTGAATAGGCTTTCATTAAATTTCAGCACAGTTGTTTGCACTGGGTTGGCCAATCTTTTTAATGCTCCTTGCATTAAAAACGGGCCATTAGGTTTGGGATGATTTCAGGTGGTCAGGATCTGAAGGTGGATGAAAGTACTTCTAACAACAAAGTGTCTTTACTGTGTTGGAGTGAGTCAGTCCAGACCAGCAGAACTGTCTGTTTAAGTAACTGCCAGTTCCTGCATTGTCCATTAAACATCACTTCTCGCAAATTCCATTTACTAGCACTGATGTATCCTCTCTGAGGGCCCGTGTTGTCAAATCTCTGCTAGGTAGAGTCATTTAATGCATGAATGAGTACACAGTTAAGATCCTCCCCTCCTCCCATTATTGGCTGAATATCTATGTTTTCTTTGATAAATGAAAATAGTCCATCGTAAATATTTATGAAACAAAACAATTATAAGCTACTAATAAGTAGACTTCCACCTGTCTTGTCTCTCTCTTAATTACTAGGGAATGCTTGCCTGGAAATCTATACAGGGAACACGCTGGCAACTGTGGAGTATTTTGCAAGGACCTATATCATTTCCAGGTCGGTGCCGCTCTGCCTGTAAGATTTCAGAAATCATAGCACAAGGTGGTGTAGCTGCAGGTACAGCAGATATTTAATCAAATTTTCCCACCTCTTTCTTTAAAAGTACGATTAATGATTAGGAAATCCTGTTAAATTCTTGCCTGCTGCTCAATAAACTGATCTGTCAGTATATTTCTTCTTAACAACATCTTCAAATATGCCCACACAGATTGCTCCCAAACAAGACGAACTTTCACAACTGCGAGGCACCCACAATTTCAGCTGCAGGCAATAGACAGGCAAACCCCAGCATATCACAAAAATAAAGCCTATTAGAGTATTCCAGTGCTGGTTGTTCTGCAGGATGTCTTCTGGCTTTCTGAAAAATATCAGGGAGCCATCAGGAAAAAAAAAAAAAAAAAGCTGGGGTAGGATAGGGAAGAAAGTACACAATATATGAACTATTGTCAAAGTCAGTGAGTCACAGAGTATAAAATAAAGCTCCAGGAACATACGTCACATGTTTGTGAAGAGCTAAATGATGCTAGCTCCCCTTTTCAGCAGGCACAAACAAACTAGCTAGATTAGAAGATGCCATGAAATGAAAAGAAAACAAAAGAAAACAATAGAATTATCTGCTTTAATTTTCGCTAAAGCAACTTATCACAATAGCTACAGAATTGCGTAAACCGTGGCCTAATATTGAAGATTTATAGATTATAAACTCAGAAAAGACCATGATGTTCACCTAGTCTGACCTTCAGTACAGCTCATAATACATACCTTCACTTAGTGCTTCTTACATCAAGGCTATAACTTTTGGCAGTGTTAGCACCCTTAGAAAAACATTCCAACATAAAGACTTAAAATGATGTGAAATCAATAACATGTTTTTGTAATTTGTTACACAGAACCCTCGCTGTTTAAAAATGTGTGTTTTATTTCCAAAATGATTTAAATGATTTTTTCCATTGGCTCTTGTTCTGTCAGCTAGATTAAAAAGCTTTCCATTATCGAAATTCTTCTATGTACCTACTTTTAGATTAGAAGGGGACTTAGGCATAATCTTTTCCCAGATAAACCAGATAAATTGATCTTGTTTAGTCTTTCACTGTAAAGGTTTTCTAGATCTATGTGAATTGAAATACTCTTCCAGACTCACGATACCCTGCAAGACATGGTTCCATATCCTATATGCCTGATGTTTTTACTATTTCTGTTTGTATGACTTTCACCTAGTTTTATTAAAATTTCTATAGCTTAAATCAGAACATCTCATTAAATGAGTGCTCTGCCCTGTGAAATCTGCCCTTCATTGCCATTATTTCTTATAACTCAAAACTCTCCTTGAGAGTTACTGTAAGGATACTGTTTGATCGCATACTCCAGTTCTATAGGGTACTGTACAGTTATGATCCAGATCTTGTTTAGGTTTTTACAGATTGCTGGTGGATTATGTTCATATTACATCTGCAAAGACTTCTCACAGAAAAATACAACAATATTCTTCTCTGTATTTATTTTTATGAAAATTTCCCAAAATTCTGTTTCAGCTTTTCACCTCTGGACAGCTTCCATATCCAGCTTCTGAGGAGAAAGTTTGGAAGGCATTAGTACTTGGTATTTTTCTTTTTATTATTACTATTTTTTGTATTAAACAGGTTTGATGGTCTTGGTCTGGTTTTAGTGGTTAAATATCTCCCTCAAAAATTTACCCAAATAGCTAGTAGAGTTTATATACTGATTGGTCAAAGTCTGAAAATACCGGGGACTACACTTTTTACTTGCACATATGACAGATGCTAACAGTATTTGTGGCAGCATATGGGCTAGTTTCAGATCATTCCTAAAATATTTCCAAGCTGCAGCATACAGCAGAGTAGTGAGAGATTTTGACTTGGTTACTCAGTCACGTACATCAGAAAAAGCTTTTGTAGTTCTAAACCCTAAAGGAGACAGTTTAGGCAAGAGTCTTACTATATTGCCAAATCAATTTTTTAAAATCTTTCTTCTGATTTGCATGTGCTTCGACAGTCTTACAGAAGGTGGTAGCAGCTACCCTAAAGAAAGCTTTGTCCCTCTTACATGACTTCCTCTTACAGGAAATGCAAGAATTTTTTTTTTGCAGTTGGAAACCACTTTGCTCTTTAATCCGATATTGTTTTTATATAAGAAGCAGTTGAAGTAATTCTTCTCAAGGGAAAATATGTTAAGGAGTAGGAACATTTCATGTGTTGTTCTTGTGTTTACGGCCAAGAAGTCAAATTTAAATCAGAATCTCAGCACCATAATCTTTTAGCAAATGTTACCAGCTGTTCAGCTCCACACTTTCTTCCTTCTAAAAGCCAGTAAGAAAGTGAAAATCCATCATATCAGTCAGCAAGTGGTTCTTAGTACCCTTACCTTGACAGATGATACATCAGAGTGCCTGTCTTTCTGAAATTTTAGTTTTAATGGGCTGGAATCCATCTTCCTGAAAATACTAAAAGAAAAATATGTATCAAGCCATTTATATATGCTCACTCTTTTTTATGTTCTTCTCAGAAACATTACTTATTTTTCTTCTACATCCATTTATTAAATCTGACCATATTTTTCTTCATTGCAAGAGCCAATGAATGCAGCATGGAGGCTATAGAATTTTGATATCCTTCCAAATAGCAAAAAATGTGAGAATATTAAGGAAAAAAATAGATGTAGGGTAAAGAAGCATAAAAGGTTTACTATTTCTGAGAAACTTTCTACCTATGTATTTGCCAAAAAATTAATTTAAGAAGAAAAAAAACCCTCATGAAAGAAGAATAAAACCTCCAAAGACAGTATTTTCAAGGTGTTACAGTTAATGGGATCCCAGAAAAAGCCTCCTTCTTTATGTATATATAATTCTTTATTATATATAATTATTTAGAGGTGTATATTATTATGAATCACAGAATCCCAGAATGGTTTAGGTTGGAAGGGACCTCTGGAGATCATCTAGTCCAACCTCCCTGCTCAAGCTGGGTCACCTAGAGCATATTGCCCAGGATCACATCCAGACGGGTTTTGAATATCTCCAGGGAAGGAGACCCCACTACCTCTCTGGGCAACCTGGTCCAATGCTCTGTCA